AGCCATAGCCACTCCCCCCATGCGCTGTAAATATCACACCTCCCTGATATTTGAGCTCGAGGAATGTGGCACGTGTGAGCGACCCGCAGGGAGGTGCAGGTTAGTCCCCGACCTGTCACCCAGCGCCGCAGGCAGTCGGAGTCGGCTGGCGGCTGGCGCAGTGCCAATACATCAGCCATCAGGCGACTCCACCTGAGGCACACGAAGGGACGAATACCCGGCCGCCGGCAGACTGGGAATATCGTATTTCTGAGAGTAAATGTTTATGTCAAAAGTGAACTTGGGCTGACAGGGTATCTGATCATATCTGGTATCATATCTGACGGTCGCGTCGGTGTTCGATAGAGGGCTGGGCAAGTCACAGCGCTTCAAAAACATTTTTAATGTTTCTGATCCATACAAGCCAGGCCCAGCAATAAACACCATTTGGTCCAGCATGAATCAAAAGTCCCGGAATCAGAAAATTTAAAGGGCGTTTCCAATAAAAAAACAATGGACGTGTGCTATTTTAAATATGGAATTATTGTACTGGGACATTATAAGTATTTAGGAACCAATTCTTCGACACCAGTAATGCGTATATTGATTCGGTAGCTTTCGGAAGCTTCTGCTCCCTTCGTCAGCCGTGCTTTAAAATGCATTAAAATACAAGACAATACGTCTCAAACGTCTCAAACACCTACCAAAATACATACCACCACGAGGAAAAGTTGTAGCCGTACGTCTAAAGCACAGATGCACAAAATAATCATACGAATACACCATAACTGAGCGTGAGCACACATTACATGAAAGAAACCAATATTTGAAAGTTACCTCACACTGACTTCTCTTTCTTTTGACCAACATTCCATAACACATATTAATGAACTAAGACGTAATCGTCCGTAACATTCGTGCCAAACTTTCGGCAGTCATCGTAAGTTCATGATCGTAACAACCGAGATCGAGACAATTAATCGGAGGTAGTCGTAAGTTCGTAATCGTTTTACAATCGCAGACGCACAAGCTCGCATATTCGCTCTAATAATCACATACAACAACCGTACATATTTTTCAACACTTGTAAACTAAGTGTGCCTATAATAGCTCACTCAGACCCCCTGGAATTCGCCCTATACACGCAGTGCCCTGTACATGTCCGGGAGAAAGCTGAGGACGAGGGAGTCAGAACACAAGCGAGCTATAGCAAACGGGAACCGAGACCATTCAGGGATATCGAGGCATATATTAGAAACAGGGCACTCTATCATGTGGGACGAAGTTAAAATTTTGGACAATGAGACGAACTGGGGTAAACGAAAGGTGAAGGAGGGGTTTTATATTTCCAGGGTAGACAGACAGAACAGCATCAATATCTTACCCGGGTGGGAGGTACCGGACGCCCGGACATGTACAGGGCACTGCGTGTATAGGGCGAATTCCAGGGGGTCTGAGTGAGCTATTATAGGCACACTTAGTTTACAAGTGTTGAAAAATATGTACGGTTGTTGTATGTGATTATTAGAGCGAATATGCGAGCTTGTGCGTCTGCGATTGTAAAACGATTACGAACTTACGACTACCTCCGATTAATTGTCTCGATCTCGGTTGTTACGATCATGAACTTACGATGACTGCCGAAAGTTTGGCACGAATGTTACGGACGATTACGTCTTAGTTCATTAATATGTGTTATGGAATGTTGGTCAAAAGAAAGAGAAGTCAGTGTGAGGTAACTTTCAAATATTGGTTTCTTTCATGTAATGTGTGCTCACGCTCAGTTATGGTGTATTCGTATGATTATTTTGTGCATCTGTGCTTTAGACGTACGGCTACAACTTTTCCTCGTGGTGGTATGTATTTTGGTAGGTGTTTGAGACGTTTGAGACGTATTGTCTTGTATTTTAATGCATTTTAAAGCACGGCTGACGAAGGGAGCAGAAGCTTCCGAAAGCTACCGAATCAATATACGCATTACTGGTGTCGAAGAATTGGTTCCTAAAGACGTGTGCTATCAATATTGTTTACATTTCTGTGAACAATTCTAATTTCACGGGTACTTAAAGAATTTCCAACAAACATAGCTCCGTTTTAAATGGCAAAACGACGGAGGTATGCTATCATTACAGTGGCATTTCTAGCCATGCTGACAAATAAGTCAGACACAACACCATTCCCTGCAGCCTTCAGCGGTCATGTATAGCGTCATACATAACTTATTTCCATATGTCATCCGCCTGTATGAATTCATTTGTCCACGTTACAACGCAGACACATACGTAAAGCAGCCTCTGAGGCCCTAAAAACCGTCATGTTCTCGCTGCCCCAGTTACCTACATTAACGATACCAGGCCAGGCTAGATCAGCCGACTTTCCTTCCAGAAGAATGTCTCTCGAGGACAAAGTGAGACGGACCAAACCTATTACAAAACAGCCGACCCTGGTCTCATGTCCTGACAGTCTCTGTCTACAAAAACGGGCATTACAACAGTGCCGCAGGCGGCAGGGCCCAATAATAGCTACCCACTGCACCGGCTACCGCCCGCCGCCCGCCCGCGCCGCCCGTCGTGAGCCGCCCGCCGTGGGCCGCCCTTTGAGAGTCATTGTATTCACTGCAGCGGGCTGGGCGTGCGTGACCTTCGGCCCCCAAATGGCTGCGACGATGACCTCCAAGCTAGTGGAGGACGAAACAGCTTCGAGGGTAATTGAATGGAAATGACTATTCGTTGTTTGTGTTGTGTCAGTGATGGTATTCGATGAGGAATACGACTTACGAGTATGTGTCAAACAGCTGGGTAATTCGAGCGAAATTAGTGTCGTAAATCAAGCTGGAGACTGGAGCTGTCATTTATAGCCCACTATAAATATATAGCCCACTACCTACCATGGCGTTTCGGGTAGGCCGACAGGGCCGCTGACGTATGGTCTCGTAACTGCTGAGCCGGCAGTGTCACACAGATGGACTGGGGCCGCAGTCCACGTCGAGCTGTTGTATCAGGTCGGACCAGTTCGGGGGGGGGGGGGAGGGGGAGGGGAGACCGCCTCACGAGCCGGGCGGCGACGGTAGACAAAACCCACCTGCCAGCGGTCGATACCGACTTCGGCTCAGTTTGTTGGTGTTGCTGTCTCAAGAGGGTCTATTGGAGAAAACTATCGAAAAATAGTGCATGCTAGCCAGGTAGGTACAAAAATTCAAGCAGCTGGAACAGCTTGGGGCATGTTTTTATTGGATAGGAATCTGACGTAAAACGGGCCATTTAAATACACGGGCGTGAACATAAGCATGATAACAGTACACACAAATTTGCTAAATAGTGTTTCCATTTTTCCGCAGCGGGTCGCGTCCCCGGTTTTTGCGCAGTGTGCGTCGCACTCGGCAATCCACACATGCCCCGGGGGGCCTTCTACGCAGCTAACCTGCACGTGAAGCAAAGCAGCCCATCACAGCTCCCACAAGCACAACACACCTCCCTCGGTCCCATCCTCACCTTTATTTTTCCACTCGTCTTCTTTCTTCCCCGTCTGGGACCGCTACTGTAGCGTCGAGTGTCGACAGCGTTCGCGGGAAACCTTCGCCACGCCGTCGCCGAACACAACTGACCCAATCGCTGGCGACCGACCGACGGCGACCGGCCGGCCACCGGTGCCGCGCCGTGTCGGTGACGTCATCAGTGACGATGAGTGACGTCATTGGGGACGTCACTCACCTGGCTGGTGTGCCGCCACACAGGTGGGTATATGTAGGAGTAGTTATTTACTAACCGTAAACGGCCCGGTAGATTGGGCCAATACGCGGCGATGCGCGGTATGGTGGAATAGGCGATTACGCAGGCCTTCGTTGTCTATGCATAACTATCTATTTGTACCTGCATTTATATCAATATGCTGAGTATTTAGGAGCCTAATAATGCTGATAAACACAGCTGAAATGACTTGAGACCCGTGACAATATGACACATAACGAAGATCGCTCTAAGACATATGCACTTTTCGGTTAGGTAAGTATGTCTACCTATATGTGTTGGTCATATTCAGTGCCTATTATAGCCTATTAGGTATACATTTTTATCGCAACAATACCTAGACCTACTAAGCGAAGAAGGCATGAGCCGGGCCCTCGTTTGACATTTTGGTGTCATGTGTTTCGCCAGATTCGCCAGATTGTTCTAGTGTGGCGTCGGGCGCGTCATAGAAAAGACTCGTCATGATCGTTATAAAATAGATATATAGATACCGTCACAAATTTACAGTAGATAAATAGGTTACCATGGACCAGTCGCAATGGCCCACACTCCCAGCTCAAAGTCTCCAACAGCCTTACGATCTATAGGCTCATTCGCCAAGAGCTTCATCGCACGAAGCGAGACGCAATCCCATTTCCTGCTCAGAAGCATACCTTCCAATCGCGCCTTCAAAGTCCCTAATTGTCAGCAGTCGGGTTACTGTATTGCGGTACAGCATACCCTCAGGGGCTCGATACTAGCGACATCTATGTGTCGAATGTCCAAATATCGTATAGGCATTGCGGTTTCCGCGCACCGCTGCAGGGTAGCTCTAAATTCTAAAAGTTGAATGTTAGACTAGTTAGATATTGTGATAACGGTGCACACTTACTAACGTCATTCGTAATAAAAGAATTGCTAGCGCAATTATTACCCGATTACCGTAAATACATACCTAGACCTAAGCGTATGAAAAGTAAGATAGGTACCTATCTATGCAGCATGAGTGCGACGGCAGGCTTATTTTGCATCGAGAACCGTCCGCAAATCCGTTCGCAGTGTGCATTTATTAAAAATGACATCTAGAATTGAGTAAACATCAAACCAACAATCACAAAGGTAAGTACCTACAAGTGGTCAATGAATCTAAATGCAAAATGGAGATGAAGGTTAAAAGCTCATCAGAAGTCTCGGCTTCATTTGGCGATAAGATAAACGAGCATAGAGTCCTTAAAAAAGACTTACAGCCATTCACAACAGAAATCACCTTCCTCGCTGCCGAGTGCTGACTGCTGAGCGGTTCTGAATCTCGGTTCACGGCCACGGCCAGCGCTGCAGTCTCTGCTCTTCTCTCGCCGGTCCGGAGATGGGTCACTGACCCTTGCACGGTGAGTGCAGAGGAGCCCGGGGCTGCGGTACACCGGCGGACGGCGCCGCGTGCAATCTCGGTGACCAGCAGTCGGCTCTCAGCGGTGCACTCACTTCTCGGTGGTCAGTGGTCAGAAGAGACTGGTGTGTGGAAGGCGCAGTGGTACGGGCTGGTCTGGAGCTGTGAATATCATGAGATGACAGATGGCTTGAAGTGATGTGACGACCGATCGAGAGAGGAAAGGGTCCATGCGCCCGCGGCAAGCTGCAGAAACTCTGGGTATCTCGTCGTGTGCTGGTGATCTGAAGTGAAGGCAGCTGTCTGGTGAGCTGCAACAGCTCGGTGTTGAGACGGCTGTAGCTGCTCCAGCCCGATGGCCGTCGGGCTGAAACGACAGCAGAAGCTGTTTTACGCTGTTTGTGGACTGGCTGTGCTGGGATTTATTTGCACCGTCCGACTAAGCTCAGGTAAGTTGTATCCCGAAGACCACTGCTGGTCACTCATGGAGCTAACGGGAAGGCGGAGCACACATTCGTGCCATTAATTTGACTTTTGAGTTGACAGCTGTGCAATGGTACCTATAGGTACAGAGGCGACGGAATTTCGGTTTGAAAAAGGTGGTCATAGAACGGCCTTATGCCGAGTATTGTGAGTCTGAAATACTTTCAGTCGTAATTATTTCAAAATTATTGAATGAGTGAAGCCTTACAACTAACAGTGGGCAGTCAGGCACGCATTCGTTCTTACACGGCACCCGAGCTCGTCTGATGACGAAAACCTGACTGTCATCCCCGCTGCCAGATCGTGTGCCGGTCAGCGGGTGGCCGTCTGTCGGCTGCCTGCGGATCCTGCAGCTGGGCTCCTCGCTGCTCGGCTGCGTGGACCACCACTTCCACGCCATTCGAGACCCGTGTCACTCAGACTCCCAGACCGCCGAGCAGGCGAGCGACTGTCTGCGGCGGCGCGCGGCGCGACTGGGACGGCCGGCGCGGCTGGTCCTCATCGGCGACTCGCGCAGTCGCATCCTGCAGGAGCAGCTGAGGGAGTTCGTCCACCTCTCCAACGGGCCCAAGCCGGAGGACGTCAGCGCCGCGGACGTGCCGCCCGGCCCGCTGCACGACTTCCAGCTGTTCGCCACGCGCGACATGTGTCCGATCCGCGGCAAATTCTGCAGCAACATCCTCACCAGTGACGTGCTGAGTGTCGAGTTCTGGCGCAGACCGTTCCTCTACACACTCTTCGTGCAGAAACTGCGCGCGATAGCGACCGAGTGCCGCGAGAAGCCGCCGGCCTGTCCAGATCTCGTGGTGCTCAACGGAGGCCTCTGGTACATCCAGATGCGCATCCAGCAGCTGGTGGTGATCGAAAACTCGTCTACCGCCTGGATGATCAAGCTGGGCGAGCACGTGACAGAGCTGCGCGCCGTGCTGCGCGAGCTCTCCGAGCTAGTGACGGTCGTCTGGAGGCTCGAAGAGGCCATCACCTCAGATGCCCTCGGTCTCGGCAAAAAGGATATGGACTATCAGAAAAGGATAACCGCGTCGCACCCGTTCTTCTACGAGCTTCAAAGACAGGTGAGTCGTGGCTGGAGATGTCTTATTTGTGATATAAAAAACGCATTATGGGTTTTGGACTTCGGCACATAAGGCCAGACGTCGAAGCGGTCGAGGATTACCGGTAAAGTTTGATTGCTACTTTTACTTCTTCTGTATAGGTTGCGTAAATATTTTTTATCCGAACCATGTGAACAAGTTCTAGATCTCTCCTAATCAGTTCACTGCGGAGAGCAAATTAATTTTCTCTTATTAGGTCAAACGATTAGTGTTTGCTTCAAATCAGTGCACCTAAAAAGACCATAGGTTGTTGTCAAAAGTATGTTTTCGTTGTTTGTCTGTCTTGTCAAATTCTGACCTGGGGCATAACTGTAAAGTGTAAAAGCTCGACTGCCCATTGAGTGCCCGACTCCGCACGCAGCAAAGCCTCGCTCTCGGCCCACCAACCGCCGCTCCGCCCTCCCGCCGTTACAGGTCCCTCGGCTGGCGGTGTGGTCCTCGATGCTGCCAGAGACCATGGACGTAGCGCAGCGGGTCTGCAGGCCCGTGCGACAGCTGAACGTCTCCACAGACGCCGTCATTGAGGACACGTTCGACCAGTGCGAGGACGAGATCCACGCGGGGCCGGCGCTGCGTCAGCGCTTCATCTCCAAACTGCTGGACATTCTGTGTGAGGTGGATGGAGATAGGGAGCCGGGTCACTGCTGCAGGGGATGACAGAGGAAGCGGGTGGGAAATTGTGACCGATGGTAATGTGTTGAATGGTGTGGCTTTCATTGTACTGCATAACGAGTCAACGACGCTGCTAAAGATGTTTCCATTTAAGGAAATATTCCGCCAACATCTCAGACGGCGACGGGCGAAGATCGTTCTGAGCTGTGATGACTTCTTTGGGGAGAGAGGACGACCCTTTCAGCTTTTCGACCATTTAGAGCCCCGAGATGAGAGAAGAGGAAATTGGATTGGTTTGAACATCCAGCAGTGCGCTGTTGTGGCCGAGTCCGTCCCGTTGGGACAGTGGGACGGGCCTCTCAGCCTCTCAGTCTCTCGGGGGGGGGGGAATGCTCCTTCTGAAACTGCCTTCACCGTGCCGGCTGCCTGGGTTAGCCGTCGTCCTAAAGCAGGGACTAGGGAGGATGATCACTGATCAGTGCTGCCTAAAGATGGACAGTTCTGGGAATAAAGGGAATGACGTGTGTAATGATGCCGATGTCGTTTCCTGTTGAATGCTGCCAGGTAACCATGTAGCATGTTATGAGAACGTCTGCTGTTATCGTATGTTAAAGTGATGGTCATGCTCATTGCTCAATATACAACAAATAAATGCCAACGAAATAAATAGACGTAACTAACTCGTACAGATATAAACGAAACGAATCAAACGAGAGCAATGGTCAGTACGATTTATTTATTCTTAAAACGCGTGTTATAACAGCACCTCACTGCACGCACTTCAGACGCTTCTTCCCAATGGAGAGTATCGCAAATGCGTTAGTGAACGTTTACTGCCTTCAAAAGCGTCGTGTGTTAAAAGAAATCAATATCAATGGCTTCTGGACATGGAACTGCCTTACATTACATTGCACCAATCAATCTAATCGACCGTTGACTAGCCACTTTCACACCACTGAATATTGACCGTAAGCAAATTAAAAGCGTCGGAAGCTTGTTCTTTTACAAGGCAATGAATATAGAAATAGCCAGCTTAACTCGCAAAGACGGATCAGCTTTAAACAAAACTGAAGAATCTTCCCGCTAGTAGAGCCCAGAAGTCCAACTGGTACAATGGTACAACTAACACAACGGCCATAACTGTTGCTAATGCCCAGTTCGTCGCTCACCGGCATAAACATTGTCATCCCCGTGGCCTAGTGGATAAGGCGTCCGTCTCCTAACTCGGTGGCAGCGAGTTCGCGGCCGGGAAGCTCCACGTCGTTTGACCCGCGTTCCTATATTCAGCCAGCTGGCAACTGGCGAGAGAGGGCCACGCTAGACCCGGGAGGACCGTGCCGCCATCTACCTGCGGCACGTTAAACTTTCGATCCAAATTATCACCGGTGAACCGGGCGCGGACAAGGCTGGGTGGTGGGTCCGTGGTGTCATTCGCAACAAGCACTGCTTAGCGGGGCACCCGGGCCCATAGCCACTAGAGCACTTCATGGGCCGGATAAATCCGTTATCCACGGATAAATCCGCGGACCGGATAGGATTGGATTCTAAATTTGTTAAAAAAGAACGGATATGGGCGGGCCGGATTTGGGAATTGAAGGTTGAACCCGGATCAAAACGGATCAAAATTTTAACATTCAACATTGAAGTTAAAAATTAACCTAATGTGTTAAGCGGCAGCTGAGGTTTGATTAAAGTAATAGGCATCATTTTATGACACTCACTTGTCACAAGACTTGGTCTGTGAGCTGTATGGCTGTCTGGTCCCTTAGATTGAATTTGTTAGTCCAGTTTTGGGTGAAACCAGTTATTGGTGAAACGGATTATTACGGATATTTTTTGGAAGTTTGGCTGCAATACGGGCCATGGGTGGGCCGGATTCTGATATTCAAAGAAAGGCGGATAATGGGCGGATCTGGATAGGTATGACTTGCCGGATATGGGCCGGGCCGGATCCTAAAAAGCCTATCCGTGAAGTGCTCTAATAGCCACCCATTCATCCATTCGGACAAAATTTCTAAAAAAAAATGTATCCCAGCGTCACGCATCCACTAACGCGGGAAGGGCACCACAAGCGTCTCACTGGGTCGAGACAATACTTGATACACAGGCATGGTGGCCACCTGACCTTTCTGTGGAAGGCGGAACTCGATCCTTCGCAGCAGACCGGCCAAAAACGCGAACAAAAGACTCCGGGCGTGAGCCTCTGCTAGGCAGACGCGAGGCCCAAAGCCGAACGCCCGCACCTGTTCGCGAAGCTTGGCGCCGTCCTCGCCAAGGAAGCGGTCCGGTCGAAACACGTCCGGGTCGCCCCAGACGGCCGGGTCATGGTGCAGTGAGTGCTGATCGGCCAGTACCATGGCGCCCGCAGGGATGTGGTAGCCGCGCAGGCTCGTGGCGCCCTGCGTGGTGGAGTGCCGGTTGATGGGTGTCAGTGTCACGAAGCGAAGCGTCTCCTCGATGGTGGCCTGGGTGTAGGGACACTGGCGCTCGTCCTCCACCGTCGGGGCGCGGTGGTCTCCCAGGAGCTCAGTCAGCTCGGCACGAACCCGCTCCTGCACCTCCGGGTGCTTCGCCAGAAGGAGGATGGTCCAGGAGAGCGCGATGGGAGGGGGCTCCAGAGAACCCAGTAGCAAGTCCTTTAGCATCACCAGCAGGTTTTCAATTGAGGTGTCGTGGTCCGCCTTAGGGGTCTGCAGTAGGTACTCGTCGATAAAATCCCGGGGATGAGCCTCGTCTAGCGTCTCGATATGTTCGTCGATTCGAGCCTTGATAAAGTCGCTCACCTTGTCCAGGGATCTAGCCAATGTTTTCACGTCTGATCTCTCACTGGAGAAGTGTGCCAACCACGGAAAGAAGTCCAAGTGAGACTGAATATTTGCCAAAAGTCTTACGATGTGAAAGCTTGCCTCCTTAAGCTCGCCAATTCGAGGATCATGCGACTCGAATTCGAAGTTCATGATGAACTTAAGCGTGACGTTTGCTATGGCTCCGGTAAGATCCCGTTCAATGTTGACCACTTGTCCTTTCAACTCCACTAGGTCCTCGACCAGCTTAGAGCACTCTGCGCTGGCCAGAGTCTCGAGTTTGTTTCTGTTGAAGCCCAGTCTGCCCAGCGTGCGGATGATGAACTTCCTGTTGTGCTGCCACTTGGATCCGTCGGCCAAGCTGACCCCGAGGTTGTCCCAATGCCCGGCCAGACGATTCAGGTAAGTCCCGGTCATCCCGTGTAGACGAACATCCTTGGCTGCCTCCTGCGGATGCATAGGCAGAACATTTTTAGATCGGGTGTTTCTATTAGATATGATTATCTACATAACATTTTAAATCAAACATTTAGGTTTCATGATCTGCTTAGACTTGTGGTAAAGTTTTATGGCTGAATCGCACTTACAATTGCAGGACAACCAGTGATCCTACATATGTAAAGGCAGCATCATTCAAGCTCAAAATAACCTCCTTTAAAAACAACCTGATAACGGTAACGCCGATGGCCGCACAGTACCTTAAGAGCGTCATATGTGCGGATGACGACCACGGGCGTATCCAGAGCGATCCTGAAGAAGACGATGGGTCCATACTTGGCCCCGAGTCGTCGGCAGAGGTCCTCGAGGCGACCACCGGTCCAACAGAGCTGGATGAACTCCCAGCTTCCCAGCAGAGGGATGCTGACCGGACCTGGCCCGTTGTAGCGGTGCGTCAGGAGTGGGGGCGGGTGGAAAACAGAATAATGACTCGAGTGCGTCTGGTAAGAATCGGGGAGAACGGTCGAAGGGTCGAGCGTCCCAACCCTTTTCCATGGATTCATCGCACATGACGAAACTTGCCCAGCAACGGCCCTGGGTTATTTAGCCCTTGAACAGAATCTGTTTAGATTTCGTTGATCTCCTCGTCAGAAATCAGAATTCAACGTTCAGATGGATGCTCACCGGGCGGCAAATTCCCACGGTACGACACAATCCTCTTCAGCAGATACAAAGCCACAATAATGGCCAACAAAGCTATGGCGAACATGCTGCTCTGTTCGTCTGCGGGGGCAGCGGAGATGTGCTCGCGAGCCGTCCTCGCCGGACACTGCTGCGCCGTGTAAGCAGTACCTAAACAGCGGCTCGCCGCGGTACAGGTCAGCGGGCACGACGACGGCGACGCCGGGAGATGACCTCGTTCGAAGGGGGCAGGCCGCACTGTCAAGTGTTATGTCAACACTCGAGTGGTCTGGCGGAGGGACACGATACACTGACCTACGCCAGATTCGTCAATAACTCTCACCCGTGTAGGGGGGGGGGGGTGTCGAACGGACCCCCCCCCCTCGGTTTTTCGCGAATAACTCGCGTGAAAAGCGGCCGATCGCGACAAAACTTTCAGTACCCTCAAGTTGATCAAATTTACACCTACCCTGAAAATTTCATGACGCTGACCCAAATGACCTTTGACCTGTGACCTACTTTTCGAGACCATATTTGGCCGCGGAATCGCGATTCGGCGTCTATGTCGGCTCGCATTAGCCGCGCGCTTGCAGTCTTTTCGTGGTTTTAAGCGTTGAAATATGTGAAATGATGTTGGTCCCATGCATTAGGGTGGGTATCAAAGTCACCTGAAGGTCAGGTCAGGTCATTGACCTTTGATGACCTCGGTTCACTTTTTCGACAGTTACATGTTTCTAGGCCAGTTTTTGGAGATGAATTAGAATTTAGCAACCATATGAACATTTACGAAGTAGTTTTGGCGCCTTCGTAACATGTTGCGAAGCTGTGAGAGGCGGTTGACACCTACCTACTACGAATGCCCGGCAGGACCCCTACTGGTTGACCTGACCTGCGCTGACCCGACCTGACCTAAATGCATTAAGACATCATCTGTGATCAAAACTAACATGGTATTCGTGATCAGCACCCCGAAACCCCTATTGCACCCACACTTTACGACGTTCTAACAGGTCCCGATTTTTCCGACTTTTGGGTCATTGCCCTGACCTGGAAGGTCAACCAATGACCTACTAGGACCTTAAAATTGGGTCATCGGCTTCCTCTCGTTACAGGAAACACGCTCGTTTTTCCCGCGAAGCTCTAGCTTGATCAGGGGCGAAACGGCAAGGGGGGTCCACCCCCCCCCCCCCGCTTATACGTTCACGGCTGGAAAACACCAATACGGGCGAGGGTTGAACCTCCGAATGGGATTCTGAACAAGGCTGTTCATTCTTGGTTCATTCAACAAGATCGGAGGATAAATGAGCATCACGATAGTAGGAGCTAGGCTGAAAATAAATTAACATTTGGTTACTCGAAAGATGATAGAATGGCTGTTACAGGTTGAGGTAGCATATGTTAATTTCACCTTACCGTACAAGTGTATACAGTCGGTGCAGTCTTTGACTCAACGATCGATCACAAAGATCTAAGACAGGGGCGCGGGAACTACTTTATGTATGTATGTATGTATGTATGTATTGACACCAAAAGCCTTCCACATATGGCGTGGCGATTACGGCTTAGATCCGAGTATAATGGGTACCTAACAATCATGCGGGCAGGAGGAAGAACACTCAGCACTAGACGACAGTCATCCATCGATGGGGGTCGTGACAGTAATCATCTACAAATGTACATGAGACAAACAATATATATACATAAGCACAAACAGATCGTCCACCAATTGGCGGCATGCCTCGTCTACTATTACAAAACACACTCATCAGCGGCGTAGCGACGTGCGTGAAGTTAGCGTCGTATTCCGCGACGGATTCAGCGTCGAGTCCGAATTTCAACTAAACCCAACCTATCTGATGCAGTTTGGGACGCTGATTCCGAATATCGTATTCAGTTCAAATTTCAAGGTCATCTTCAAGGTAAAATCACGGATTGAAATTGAGTCCCCTATTTTTCCTACACCGATCGTCCGATCCGATTTCTGAAGGTCGCATTCGAAAGCTAGGGTCAGAATCTCGAATTCCCTAATATATACCTTATTAAAAATATTTGACCTTAAAGGTCAAATCACGGATTGAAATTTTGAGTCCCCCTATTTTTTCTACACCGATCGTCCGATCCAATTTCTGATGGTCGCATTCGATAGCTAGGGTCAAAATCTCGAGTTTCCTAATATACACCTTATTAAAAATATTTAAATCACGGATTGAAATTTTGAGTCCCCCTATTTTTTCTACACCGATCGTCTGATCCGATTTCTGATGGTCGCATTCGATAGCTAGGGTCGGAATCTCGAGTTCCCTAATATATACCTTATTAAAAATATTTGACCTTAAAGGTCAAATCACGGATTGAAATTTTGAGTCCCCCTACTTTTTTCTACACCGATCGTCCGATCCAATTTCTGATGGTCGCATTCGATACCTAGGGTCAAAATCTCCAGTTCCCCAGTGGCGCAGCCAGAACTCTGGCGACGGGGGTGAGAGACGTTCGCGATGGGCCCCCCAGCAAAGTGGGCCCCCCTCAACCTAATGGGGGCCCCTTACCAACAACGAAAGTTCAGATCATTGTCCTGATCATAAGCAGCCAAATCGGGGAAAAGGACAAATATCTCTTGATCTGAAGAGGCACATAAAAAACAACAGCATATTTACAGAAACACGACCATTCTGCCTATATTTGATGGACAGCGTGCAATTGATGGCCAGCGGCCACTCAAATGGTCGGGCTAGGTCAAAAAGCTTTTAAAAAAGATCAACATCAGTTTTTCGACTATTACCTACTTTGGATATAGGAGACGAGGTAGAGTAATTAAATTGTCTTGAAGGTGTTAAATGATCCATACGGATCAGTTGATGACCATCATGAACTTCTCAAGTAAGGGCATGACCTTGATCTGCGGTCACATTTTGAAGTTAAACTTTTTATGTGAAATTATAGGTATTAACATTCGATGCATGTTAACAAGAGAATGATGACAAAGTAAATGTCTCATAATTTTTCTCACCAAAGTTCTTGCAAAAGTTTTTAGCAAAACTATTTTGGTAAAATGCGACTATTTAGATGGTTTTGCCCTCTGCTCTGTTGCCAAACCATTGACATGAGGCATTGAGGTCAAATCTTAAAAGCGAAAACGTTTTGAAAGGCCTATCGAATGAGTTGTTCCGCGAAGCTCTAGCTCTTTGGTTCACGAGTTATACGGTTATTTGTGAAAATATAAAAACTAGAATTTTTTCGCCGTAATCTTGTCTTTCTGTTTATCATAATTTTATCATAATTTCATCTTCAATGACCTCAGCGATGACCTAATCGAAAAATGACCTCTACGATTCTGAAGCATCCTACAGCTATCTGTTGCTTTTCTCGTCTTTCTAGCCTTCTTAAATTATGATCGGGTTTGGCCGATACGCCCCCCCCCCCCCCTGGCTGATTGCAGGCGTTAGAGAGCTATCGAACCCACTTTCAGCGCGCTATAGCTTTATATGTCCTCGAGTGTCGAAATAGGCGAAAATTTTCCTTCGATGAACATGATGACGTGGGCTTTGGTCTGAACTGCAACATGACTGAAGTAATTTCTCCATGATTTTCGACGCTCTTTAGAAAGCCGCCTACCGCCGCACTTGTCGCTACGTGACCCTGGAGTCAGGTTAGAAGGGAATATTCAAACATCCCCTAGGGGCGTAAAACTGGAAAGCCTGGGGCCCTGCTCTGCGGGGCGCGGTCGAGCTAGGCTAGAGCCAGTTCGGGATGTTTACAAGCCCTCGTAAAGCTATCAAGAATCTGCATAGAGCACAGGCCTTCCAAGACTTGGGGGTTTAGCTATCAACAATCAACATGGTCTTTTGAGACCTGCGTGGTGGCTATCAGAGGTCGGCGGGCCCCTCAAAAGCCGGTGCAGGAGCCTCAGGTGTCAGTTTGGAGCCATCATGGACCGGCGTGGAGCCCTGATTAATACCTAGGCGTCAAACCCCTAGACGTCAGGGTGGGGCCGGGCGGTGAGGCAGGCACAGGCCTGAAGAGAAGAGGAATTTTCAGATGTCGGCTTGGCATCTTAAGGGCCCTGCGTGGCTTTCTTAGAGGCTGACATATCGTACTGCGGGACCTCCATGAGCCTCAAAAACCTCTATGGGCCCCCTCACGCTTGGGGTAGGCTTCCTGAAGCATAAAATCTCTGAGTCTTGAGATGGGCCCATTAGACATGAACTGGGCCATCAATATACATGTGGTGAGTTGACCGATATCAAACATGATATCGGCTCAATCAGGATTGGGATAGGCCCTCTCAGACCCAGACCAGGCACGGAGTACGGACCCTCCCACACATAGGATGATCCTTTCATTCCTGGGATGAGTCTTCTCAGGCCTGAACTGGGCCCTCTCAGACCTGAAATGGGCCCCTCTCAGGCCTGAAATGGCCCTCTCAGGCCTGACATTAGCCCTCTCAGACCTGAATTGGGCCCCTCTCAGGCCTCAAACAGGACCTCAAGGGCCTGAAATGGGCCCTCTCAGGCCTGACATTAGCCCTCTCAGACCTGAAATGGGCCCTCTCAGACCTGAAATGGGCCCCCTCAGCCCGGAAATGGTCCCTATCATGTCGAAAAAGGGCCCCCTCATACCGTAACTGGGCCATCTCAGATCTGAAATGGTGCCTCTTATGCCTGAAATGGGCCCCTCTCAGGCCTCAAACGGGCCCTCTCAGACCTCAAACGGGCCCTCTCTGGCCTCAAACGGGCCCTCTCTGGCCTCAAACTCTCTGGCCTCAAACAGGCCCTCTAGGGCATGAAATGGGCCCTCTCAAGCCTGAAATGGGCCCCCTCAGGCCTGAACTGGCCCCTCTCAGGCCTGAAATGGGCCCCTCTCAGGCCTGAAATGGGCCCTATCAAGCCTCAAACATGCCCTCTAGGGCCTGAAATGGACCCCTTCAGGCCTGAAATGGGCCCTCACAGGCATCAAATGGGCCCTCTCAGGCCTGAAATGGGCCCCTCTCAAGCCTCAAACAGGCCCTCTAGGGCCTGAAATGGGCCCTTTTAAGCTTCAACTGGGCCCTTTCAGGCCTGAAATGGGCCCTCACAGACCTGAAATGGGCGCTCTCAGGCCTGAAATGGCCCTCTCATGCCATGAAACGGGCCCTCCTGTGCCTTGGATTA